CTGGGTAGGCTATGGGGACCCCGAACTAGCCCATCCCCACGAAAGAGTCTCATCTAAAAGCACAGTTACCAGGAAACATCCCTGGGGGCCATCATGGCAGCGGCAATTCGAAGAGAAATGAGAACAATCACAAGATGGTTAAACCAATGAGGAGGGCATTGGAATTTTCCCTCCTGAAGATTCTCTTTCGAGAGCTGAAACTTTGATTGAGTTCTGTTCCTATAATAAAGGAAGAGGAGGTGGTGGGAGTGGGGTTACCTTATTTTCAGAAACAAAACATTCTGTGTAAATATCCAAAATTATTCCCAGGAAAATCAGCTCTTACATGTGACTTGAATTGTATTCAGCCGCTCCTGTAACTACTTGGGGCTGGTGGGGGAACGAAGTACAGCAAGGTTTCCCTCTGGAAGTCTTTTGTTGTCATTGTACTTGTTCTGATGGAGGTGATTTTGTCAACTCAGCCCTTCCTCCTCTCTCATTCTCCTTTTTCTTTTGTGCGTGTGTCTAAATGTAGTTCAGGATGAGGAGGGAGGACATGGTACTATTATCATGCTATTACAGTGGTTCTGGAGGCATCTCGGATCCTCACTATGCTATGGAAAAATCCTGAAATAATGCATGAGTACCATAGGACCTGGTCAGCTTTGCATCGAACATAACTCCACGTTTATATTGGCTTTGTTTCTGCTCTGCTGTATTAAACGTTCACATCTGCCAGAGCTAGGCACCATCATACGTCCCTCCAGAACCCAGAAGATGAATTTCCCTTCAAGAATTCAGAAGACTCAGTCCAGTTAGTGACAGAAAAAGACGACCCTTGGATTACCTACTAGATTATCATATCCCACCTGCCTATCTGCCCCCAGATTCCTGCCTTGATCATTCATACACCTGGCTCACAATGGGTTCCCAAACACATGTGTGATGAATGATCTACAGTGCCCCGACTGCAGCCCTGACCTGCTCATAGGATAACTTCCATTGGTTTTCTATCAAAGGCACATGCAGTCAGCAGGCAGGAGGAGTCCAGAGCCTTCAAGACTCAACCCTAAGAGATTTACTGAAGCAGTGATTATTACAAAATCCTGCAGTACATAAAGAATGAGACTTGTAGATGAGAAATCTACTGAGGTTGGCTGAAAAAGTTCTCTCAGGGGAATGAGGCAAATTGAGCATTAGTTTTCTGAACAACAACAACAACAGGCTGATCTATTCCATTTGAGTCTCAGACCAAAGGATAAAGGAATCTGGGAAAAATGAGATGAAGAACGTTGCCTGATTTTGTATGCACTATTTGCACGTTCCTTGTGCAAATAGTAGCGATTGGTCTTAGTGGTCAGAGTTCATATAACAATTAAAATGAAGAAGTGAATTTCTTTGCTTCCTGTTAAACACTCTCCTTTCTCAACACACACACACACACACACACGCTAATTCCAACTCATCCTTCAATGCCATGTTCATGCCCTGTCTCCTCCACGAAGTCTTTAAAGAAATTTTTAAAAAAAATTCTATGCCCAACCTGGGGCTTGAACTCACCACCCCAAGATCATGAGTCGTGTGATCATGAGCCAGCCAGGGACTACCACAAAGCTTTTTTGTCTCACATCTAGAAAGTCTTGACCTATTCAAGCACTTGTCATTACCACTGATTTGCTATTATCAGACCTCTTCATATAATCTTTTTATGTAAGTCTTATCTCCCTCAACCACAATCCCTCTGAGGGCTTTGATATCTGTCCACATTGCCTTGCATATAAGGAAGGCTTCAGAAGTATCTGCTTATCTAAACTGGCTTTGAGACTCATCAAGCACTTACTCCATGCCAGGAAACTTTTTGGTTCTGGGGAAACAGGTGAAAAATCAGACATAGACTTCACCTTTATGGAGCTTACCTTTTCAGTAAAAAAGTGGGAGATAGAAACTTTTTGGTGTCTCTCTGGGAAGTTTCAGGAAGTTGTAGCAGATCATAGGAAATAGTATAGAGAGTTGAAAACACTGGACTACGAGTCGTGATCTACCTTGGCCTCATCCCTAATTTGATGGGTATCTTAAGTACATTTCTTAACCATATGTCATATAGGCATCACACGGTTACTGGGAGAACTGGATCAGAAAAGATGCAAATCATGCTGGAGGGAACTTCCTCAACCTGATAAAAAGCATCTGTGAAAAACCCACAGCTAACACCATACTTAAAAGTGAAA